TTTGACGAGGTCCCTTGTGTCTTCGTCAAAGTGGCTCATGAGGAAGGGAATGTCGTGAAGAAAGTTGAACTCCCAGCACTCTGAGATGAGCGGGTCACCTAGCAGGTCCTTCAAGGTGACGGCATCTGCATTCGATGAAGTGGGTAGATCGCGAATGTGCGTCAGCTGAAATGGAGACGGGGTCGTGGCCGCCTTGGATTTCCTCCTGGCTGGGGGGCTGATGGCACGATGAAGGCTGGATGGCTGGGTTGGCGGGTCATCCGTCACGTCCTCAGTGACGCGCAGTCGCTTGGAGGGTCGTTCCATGGTCACCAAGCCTCATCAAACGAAACTGTCGCCGAAGTTCAAGATCTTTCAGTCTATCACCGTGGTAAGACACGCAGTGAGAGCCAATGCCGAGAGTCTGTCTGACGTCCTCACCTGCTTTGGAGCCGACGATGACAACGATGACAGTGCCCCCACCAACCAGGACCAGGGGTCACTTATGCCTGCGTGGAAGAATGTGGCTTTTTCTGTGAATCATGGAACATGAAATTGACGTTGTATGGGTTTCATGGAAGTTGAAGTCAATTTCGAACGACGACGAACTAAAGCAGCTCCATGTTGGCAAGAACGGATGGCATATCGAGAGAAGAAGCAATAGCGGATTGGTGGTACCTGACTTGCTGAGAGGTGGGGTTAGTGGTCAAAGCTCGGACTACTTTGAACCTTGGCGAGGTCAGGGGATATCTCCAGTGTCAAGTTAATCACCTCTCCGCTATTTGACCTTACTTCATCAGAAGTATTACTTACAATAAGTCGACACGATCAAGTTTAAGTTCGTTGGCTACCTGAAACTCCTCCTCATTCCACCTCGACTTGGCTCGTTATCCTGTGAGGAGACTTTTAGCCCCGAACTCACGACACTGGCCGTGAAAGTGCACTCATTCTACCAGTATGGCATAGAGGCTAATCAATATTGCAAAGTCCCCAGACGGGCCTCCAGGCTTAACTTACTCGCGTCGGACGCATCGGAAGCAGAAGAGTAGAGAATCGTATCAGTGTCGGACGAGAACTCGTGCCGCCGTATTCTGTGCCTCACCAACGCTGGCTTCGCTGCGGCCTTGTAGTCGTATGCTCAACCCCTGGAGGCGCGCGTTGTCGGCTGCAAAACAAGGCGCCAAGCGCTGCACACTGTGAGGGGATTCTGCATCACGCATCAAGACGTAATTTGGTTCTTCGCACCTGTCGATATAGATGCAGATTTGCGGGTGAATTTGCAAACCGCCAAGTCTGAAGTGTCTGTATGCAGACGATGCTGCTCCTTGGCAATGCACGTACCGTCGACTTGTGCGGCCGAGCCGCTCCAATCCCTCTTCTTCAGTGACTCTGGACGCAAAGAAACTGCGCGTTTCTCTGGGCGATTCGTAGTTCGCCAATCAGACACTGAGGTTTAGTTGCCACCTTGTTGTCGTATGAAGGGGTGTAGAGCCCTGTCACGCTGCTGTCTAATCAGTCTAGCCGAGGTTGGTAATCATAACAGGCGAGAGCAACCTGCTCAACTCCGGCAAAGACCACGTGTATTCAAAACTAGTATGTGTTGACGTGATATGATGGGTGGAAGATGACATTGCTTCCAGTTTGTTCATACCGATTGACCCAGATACCTGAGGGAATGGAACTATAGTGGGCAAAAGAATTGTTTGGATTAATTTCTTTCAAAGATCACATCACTTCAAATGGAACACCAAACACACAGTATAGAACGTCGTTAAATTCATCTGATAAAGTTATCCGCGAAACTAGAGAATAGACAGGCCTCGTCAGGCCTTGCATTGCCGGCAATTTTGAACAAGAAACGATCACAGTAACGACACGCTACTCCTCGACTCTCCCTTATTTCGAAGCCCAACCGAGAGTCAGGTCACCACCGTTGAAGACAACAAAAGCGGCCTTGAGAGCCACATCGCCGAAGATGGAGAAGCCAATGTTTGTGTTGCGCTGAATGCCGCCGAAGCAAACAGAGCCCGAGTCGTCAACGGGGGCGAAGTTGATGTAGCTTCCGGGGATCTTGATGCGCGCAGACTCGACGCCAAAGGTGAAGGCAGGGAGGGTAGCGCTGCAGCTGAAGACGTAGCCACCCTGCGAGCTGTCGTACCTGGCGCCGCTGACCTGTGCGTAGTAGGCCGAGACGACGGAGGTGGGGAGCAGGAGCAGCGTGGTACCGGTGTCAGCAATGCCGGTGACGGGAGAGGACTTGAAGGCTGCAGTTCCGACCTGGTAACCGGTAGAGGTGAAGGACCAGAAGCCGTCGCTGTTGTCGACATTGGTGTAGGTAATGGCACCCTTGTAGGCGGTCTTGTCAATGTAACCAAAGTTGTACTTGCCGGCTGGATCTAGTTGTTAGCAGTGCAAAATGTCACATATACAAAGAAAGGACGTACCCGCAGCGTGCTTCAGATCAGCAGTGAACAAGGGAGCATCCAGAGTGGATTTCGCATTGTCGAAGAAGGTCAACTGCTGCGAGGGAGAAACAGTGTTGATAGAGCTGAAGGCGAGGCCCAAAAGACCATCGAGCGGATCCGAGGTGAAAGAGCTGGAAACCTTCTGGGCAGCCTCAACAGCCTGCTTCTTCACGGTAAGGCCACCAATGGTCACCTTGTCCAGGTACACATCGCCATTGGAGCTGCTACCATCGCCATAGCTAATGGACCATTTGGCACCGGCAACCTTCGATGAGGTCGAGCTAGAGGCGGGGTTGTACCGAGTCTGTCCGTTGACCTGAGAGCTCGGGAGCTCAGTGCTGAAAACCCAGAGATCACTAGAACCAGTGTCGAAGTCGAGGACGAGGTTCTGTGCCGGCGTGCCTATCTGCACAGGGGTCAAGTACTCGACATCGTTGGCCTCGGGGGAAGTCGTGGCTGAACCGGTGGTGCGCTTTGACAAACGGCTCTCGGTGGCATTGGCGGCAGCGGCAGCAACATCAGCGGGCGCCGCCTTGCCAAACTTGTTGTAAGCCTTGGCGAGGGCGATGGCACCGTTCCTGTGCTGGAAACCTGGGTTGGGCACTGCGCGCACAGAGAATGTGCCCTGATCAGGGATACCGATCTTGGTAGGCACCACGGCCGCGTAGCCAGTGGCGGCGAGGATGGCAACGAAGAAGGTGCCGAATGTCTGCATCTTAGTTGTATTTGGTGAAGCTCGAGGAGGATATGATCTTTCAAACTTGTGTCAGTGGCAGAGGTCAGATGGAAGGTAAGGAGATGGTGATGTGAAGCCTGAAGAGAGCTGATATCGACACTGAGGAGATGAAGAAGACGATATTTATATTTGGGAACGACTTGGCCTCCAGCACTTCCTGGTAGTCATCGTGGCCATGTTATCGTGGCCATGGCAGACAATGAGTGAGGTGCTTCAGAGATTTGACGCGATACCACAACAGCATCACGACGTTTAGCTCCAAGCCGGATCGAGGTAGGAATCCGGATTGTGTCCAACCTCACGAGACGTATACACGTCAGCAACAGAATGGTCTAGTACGGACGAGGAAGCTCGTTAGGCTCCAGAATGTAGGTTGACAACTGCTAAGCCAGATACACATGAAACGACATTTCCCAGCAATGTTATCTGAGGGAAATCTGGATACATGACAACGGGTTGGAGATGAATTTGGGTTGTCATTCCCGTTGAAGTGCTTTCAAGTATCGCACAAGGGGTCCAATGCAGGCGCGTATCGGCAAATCGGCAAACGACGAAACGGCATTGAAAGTCAGCCCTGGCTCCATGGCCCCGGTCATGCGCGCCAGAAGCGCTGTGCAGACAAGCTTTCGAGCAGGGACCTAGTTCCTCGGCACGTGTAAATGGTCCCGTTTAAGACAACGACCAGCGAGCGATCTTTTCAGACGCCGATCATCCCCAGACGGCTTGAAAGTGCCGTGCCCCCATGGGACAAGGATCGGACAGGACGCTCGTTCTGGAAGGTCCAAAGGTAGTTTATCAATGTATTCCAAGATGGGTTGGATGAGCTCATCGTGGTGCCGTTGACGACCTTAGAATCTCTTGAACAAGCGATATGGACAGCAGAGTGTGTATCAATCTTGCCCAGCCTTGTCTGCTTGGATTGCGGAAAGGATACTGACACGCAGCGCATGAATTGTCACAGCCAAGGCTGACCCTGATGACTTTTTCATGCTAGGACAGCTACGTAAATCACTGCATAGCGATTCTGGCACAAGTAGTCATAAACTACGAACGTCCTTAAGTCGACGACTGCTCAGGTCAGTCCCTGTAGGAGCATTAAAGATATGATCCCGATCAACAGCTAATCTTGGTGTGCGGGAAAGCCTTGTGCTCTCAACAGCCGACGTTGTCGGTTATTCCCGCCGCATTGACTCGATTATTATCATGTAACAGCCAATGATCTTAGATATCAAGTCGACTAAGGTCGGGGTTTCAGGGGTTCAATTTGTGGAGGCGCCGCCATGCCGCACTTGTGCTCTAGGCCGACCATGAAGAGCCGACTACCCGAAGCGCCATCGCAGCTTACGTATGGCTTCTAGCTCTACTAGGAAGGTGTCATATCACTGCCGAACACCTGATGTCGCTCAAGTGAATTCAATAGCGATTTGGCTCATCATCTCAACCAGCCGATACGGAGCTCTGGGCTGGGTTGCAGTCTGTTACTCCCTCGTAGCTTAACGAGCGGCACTGTAATACCGAGCGAGCGCATGCTATCCGGATGCAGCGGCCTAAGTGGCCTAACAATTGCCTCTTGTGGCAGGTCACTACAACCTCCACCCGATAACAGAATGACACGAGACCCCCCATCGGTCGGATTCACAAAGCCGGGGAAGAATGAGGGGTGCTGTCTGATCTGGGATGTTGGCGATCTCATCGCCAAGCCTGTCAGAACATAATAAGTACGGGGATTTGATCTTCGCCTCCCGTCTTGGCATGCATCTTCATCCCTATCCCTGGACTGACGCCACCTCCCACGCCCTTTGCGATTCAATCAATCCACCATGAGGGCCACGATTCTCAGCATCTTGACCACCCTCGCCCTTCTTGGGCCAGGTGAGTCGACACCGCTAGCTGCCCTGGACAAGAGGTACACTCTCGACTCCAATGGCATCAAGTATAAGGTGTTTGAGCATGCCGCCACAGGAGCTACAACCAAGATTGTGTCCAACTCTGGCATTTGCGAGACGACACCTGGAGTGAATCAGCACTCGGGCTACTTCTCAGTCGGTGAGCATAGATCTGAGTGGCGGTCCCCGTAGCTTGCATCACTGATCGGTCATCCATTTCAAAAAGGCACGAATATGAATATGTTCTTCTGGTTCTTTGAGGCTCGAAAAAATGCCAGCAAAGCCCCTCTTGCCCTATGGTTGAACGGCGGTCCCGGATGTAGTTCCATGATCGGCCTCTTCCAAGAGAATGGACCCTGCACTTTCAATGGCGGAGGCTCTGAGCCGACTTTGAACCCATACTCATGGAATACATTCGCAAACATGGTAAGGTGCAAGATATATCTCAAACGCGCACATGAAGCTAACAGATTCAGCTGTATGTTGATCAGCCGATTGGTACCGGTTTCAGCTACGGCACAGATGATGCCACTTCGACTCTGGCTGCTGCCCCAAGGGTCTGGAAGCTCTTGCAAGCCTTCTACGCCCAGTTCCCTGAGTATGAGGGACGTGACTTCGGTATCTTCACTGAGTCTTATGGAGGCCACTACGGCCCAGAGTTTGCCTTTTACTTTGAGCAACAGAATGCAGCCATCGACGCCGGGACGATCGCGGGCGAGAAGATCAAGCTTGTTGCTCTTGGTGTCAACAACGGCTGGATCGATCCTGGTACGTTCTCATTTGGGATCTCCAGGGCGCCACAAGAAGCTACCTTGCGCTGATGGCCTGCTAACGTGAATTGCGCAGCCAACCAATACAAGGATTACATCGACTACGCCGCCAACAACACGTACAAGAAGCTCATCACCCCGAAGCAATATAGCACATATGTCTCCACATACCAGAAGAAGTGCGTACCAGCGTTTGCCAAGTGCACAGGTTTGACTGGTAATGATGCCGCCTGTGGCAACGCCGACGATGTTTGCAGCGCGGCCATCGAGAGTCCCTTGGAGTCGCTCGCCAGCTTTGACGTCTACGACATCCGAGGCCCCAAGAATGACCCTTTCCCTCCTGAAACATACTTGACGTATCTGCAAACGCCGGCTGTGATGAAGGCCATCGGCGCCCAGACAACTTATGGAGAATGCCCGGATGCGCCCTATACCAAGTTCATCTCCAGTGGTGATCGTAAGTCGTGAAATGGCGCGCTCCACATGAAACAAGAGCTGACCAAACCAAACAGGGGGCCGATCATTCTTGCCGACCTTGTCGCAAGTCATTGACTCAGGTATCACCGTGTTGATCTGGGCCGGCGATGCTGGTAAGTTGACGGAGCTCCTGTATCTTCGCATGGCGAGCATAATGCTAACAAGGTCAGATTGGATTTGCAACTGGATGGGTAACTACCGAGCACTGAACTCCATCGCCAAGAAGCCTTTCCTCTCGGCACCTCTCCTTCCATACACGGTCAATGGAAAGAAGTATGGCGAATACAAGACCTCTGGGAACCTGAGCTGGCTGAGGGTGTACGAGGCCGGTCACGAAGTGCCAGCGTATCAGCCGGAAGCTGCGTTGGCTGCCTTCATATCGACCATGTCACGGAAGCCTATTTCATCTTCATAGACATTCGTGTCCAAATACTGAGCTGTCGGTATATTGAGGCGAGATTTGGACAATAACACCACAAACGGACAAGGCCGCATGTCATCCACCTTGGTTCTTCGCAGGGTTTTCTGTTCAAATTTGGTCGCGCACGAAGCCCGGACCTTGCTAAATGCTGTGGAAGTTGAATGATGGTTGACAACTTGAGAGCGATGTACGGATGGTATCTGCTCAATCGAGGGCCAAAACACACAAGTCCCTGGCGTCCCCTGTTGTCGGCGTGCGGGGCACCAACAGAGCGACGTTGTAATCACCACAATGTTATGTAATGGTTCTTGCTCTCTGTAGTGACCACGTAGGTTTTCCCACTTGTGAACCTGTACCTTATCTGTCGGTGCTGAGCCTCGGACTTCAAAGTTGATACTCTCAATCCGCATGAGCACTGAAGCCGTGTGGCGAACGCTATGGGCTCCGTGATTTCTGCAGTATTTGATGCTTTTAAGGGGATCAGAGCAGCACTTAGCTTGCTTTCTGCCTTGTCGACCGAGTTCAATGCAGCCTTGAACCGAGCGGGGAAGCCCCCGGGCCTCCCGAACCCGAAGCCAACCCGGCCATATTGGCTGAACAACCCACCATTTCCAGAGCTAGTCGACATTCGCTCTCCAGTACTTCCTGAAACGGCAGACGTCGCCGTCATCGGGTCCGGCATAGCTGGTGCTGCTGTTGTCCGATCGCTTCTTCACGAGCGCCGACGTCGAGGTACTGTCTCGGGCAGCGAGTCTGGGTTGCCCGACAATGACAAGATCGTCGTGTTCGAAGCTCGACAGCTATGTAGTGGCGCCACGGCTCGTAATGGAGGACACATCAAGCCTACCGCCTACGAGATATTCCCCCGTTTTCGCAAAACATATGGCCCGGAACGTGCTGCTGCGCTTACCCGATTCCAGCTTCGTCACATTGATTGTCTGACGGAGCTCTGCGCTTCTGAGGGTATCGATGCCGCCGAAGCGCGGGAGGTCGAAACGGCCGACTTGTACCTCGACGAAGAGACGTTTCGGAAGGCTGCCGAAGGTCTTGCAGAATTGAAGGAATGGGTACCGGAGGTAGACGTCGAGGTATGGGAGAGCGATGAGGCGAGAAAGGTCTGTTCACTCTGAAAGTTGTCCTGACTTCGAGCTAGACTTCTGACATGTGCAGAAATTCGGAGCAAACGAGAGCGTGGCCGGCGCGCTTTCCTACCGCGCCGGGGCAATCTGGGCGTACCGCTTTGTGGTGTCCATCTGGAAGCGCCTCCTGGACGACTTCCCCGAGCAGCTCTTCGTTGAGACGACGACACCGGTTGAGGCAATCAGCACCAGTTGCGATGAGTTGACCGACTTTCCCTATATCGTCCACACGCCTCGTGGGATCGTACACGTCCGCCATGTAGTTCACGCGACGAACGCTTTCGCGAGCCATCTTGTCCCAGGCCTTCGCAGCAAGATTACAGGCGTCCGGGCTCACATGTCGTCTCAGCGTCCGGGTGATCTATTTCCAAACTGCCGAGGGCAACGCTCCTGGGGCATGATCTATGGCGGAGCTTTCGATTATGTCACCCAGCGGCCTTCGTCAACCGACGAACCGCAGGGCGATTTGATGCTGGGCGGCGGCTTCAGCCGTTCTTTGAAGCAGGGGGTCGACCAGATTGGCCTGTACGACGACGGTGCATGCAATGATGCTCTGACAGTCTCTCATATATCTGGCATTTTCCCGGCCGTCTTCTCGCCAAAATGGGGCAAGGGTGCTTCGGTTGAGCATGCGTGGTCGGGGATTTTGGGCATGACAGGCGACCTTCTCCCCTTCGTTGGTCGCCTTCACAGTGGCCTGACGGGCCGTAAGGTCGCCAGCAAGAAGGACGGAGGAGTGCATGGAGAGTGGATCGCGGCGGGCTTCGCCGGCGAGGGAATGGTTTGGGCCTGGCTTTCGGGGACGGCTCTTGGCATCATGGTCGATGGATGCGAGGAGGAGGAGCTTGCTGCGGCCCCAGGCAGGCCGAAGGGCAAAACTGTGGACTGGCTTCCAAAAGAGTTGATGGTGTCCAGCGCGAGGGTGCGTAGTGCGGATATTTCCAACCTTGCGAGCTAGTCTACAGATCTCACGAGGATAATGCTTGCTGCGCAAGACATGCGACTCTATCGAACGCTATCCACAATCGTGCTACCGTAAGAAGACAGCACGACTTGATAACGAAACATCATGGTCAACAGTCATGTTGGTTATGTACGTGCATTGTAGATGCTTCGTCATTACCAGGGCGCAGCCATAGTTCGCGACTTCGGACTCCCTTTGCATCATCCGGCATAAGGTGGAACGACATCTGAAATCGTACTCTCTGTAGCCAGAGAGGCTCACCCGTACCTATTAAACACTTCCGTTGAGACCCCTCTGCAGTGCCCCCTGACAGTGACACTTTGGGAAGGCATTCTGTGGTATCACGCTGATGCAAACTCGAGTGCGTCGGTCATGGAGACTGCTTGGTCTGGTATACATGACCTTCGCAAGTTCTGTCTTTCTAGAAAAATGGTGTGACGAATACCGGGCAACCTCATGCCCTGGGCCGCAACTCTGGGTCGAAGCCATACGCTCTCGTGCCATTTCAAGCAATAATCATGATAGGTCTGTCACCAGAGGTACTCTCGCCTGAATCCTCCGCCGGCCGTGGATGTTCCTCTCATCACCCAGTTTAGTGATCTCTTTCGACTGTCTATCGCAGGTAAGGAATCGTTCGCAAAGCTTGCCAAAGGCAATCCCTCCATGAACTATGCAAGCATTGGATGGGCAGGAAGTGTGGGAAGGACGCGGTCATCTAGTAAGTCACGACGCTTGTCACGAAGTTGTGGACATCAGTGCGGCAACAGCTTCGGTACATCGGACAGTGGCCAGGAGTGAGGGGCCAGCGGGATGGGGATCAGGGGGAACAGGCTGTGCATGCACAGCCTGTAGTGTCTGGGAGGTGCTTTCCGCTACCTGGGCGCCTCGCACCTTAGTCATCGTCAAGTGGTACACGTATCCTCACCGGAGCAGATGAGGCCCAGAGGTGTTGCGTTCCCGTTCTGGCGAGGGACAGAAAGTGAGGGAAAGCTTAAAGCAGATAGACTGAATGAAGCGCATCGGGGATTGGCAGGCTGCTTTATTGAACGTCTATTGAGCAAGTTAAACTTTGGGGCCTGGACTGGGCGATAGAGCCAGCTGCCAGCTTTTAGGTACCTCATCCTAGGTACATACCTAGGTAAGGTAGGCATGGCACTACACCCTCCTTGTTACAGCCCAGCATCAGCGCCAGCTCTCGGATCATCGCGTCCCCTCCCAAACTCGTGGCTCCATCAGCCAGGCGTCAGACCCCTGACCCCCCCTGTATCTGGTGTCGCTTCTCTTCCTCCACCAGCTCGGGTCGTGTCGTGTCGTGTCGCCCAATTCGTCCACCCGCTGCAACACCAGCACAAAAAGTTCCACGTTTCCTATTTCCCCGACGACGTACGAAAGGGAAGCCCTCTGAGGCAGTTTGTTGATGTACGACCTTTGGTAGCCTGGACAAAGGACCATCTCTTTTTCTCACATTCCTTTATACGCCACGGGCTTGACCATCCTCGCGCCGCGATCCCCCACACCCCATCGCGATACGGCCGATCCCTACCGAGACCCCTGACACCCGTTGATCCAAATTGGCCGCCCATTTCAGTCTCCGATTCCACTACCATCGGATTTCTTGAAGCCAGCTGCCGGCGGGTCGCTCTTTGACACATCTCCTCCCTCTTCGCCCTCCTTTGCCTCAGTTGCGACGAACACTGGCAGACCTGCCGTCGCCCTTCCATCATGAAGCTCTCCACAGTCCTCGTGCTCGCCACGAGTACCCTCGCCCTCGCCGTCAAGAAGACGAAAAAACTCAAGAATGAAGATCCAAACACCTACTTCAACTCGGTCAAGGTCCCTCCCATGCTCGAGTTGACACCCGACAACTTTGACAAGGAGATCAATGCGACCAAGCTCGTTGTCGTCAAGCATTACAGGTTCGTCGCGTCTACCCACAGCAGCAAGCATCTCGCCACCGAAAGTGGTGCGCTGACCAGATCTCATTCAACAGTCCCTACTGCCCGCACTGCATCGACTATGCCCCGACCTACCAAACGCTCTACGAGTACTACTACACCTCCAAGCCCGTCACCCCCGAAGATGTCTCCTTCATGGAGTTCTACGACATTCGATTCGCCACCATCAACTGCGTTGCCTTTTTCGACCTCTGTGCCTCCCTCAAGGTTCAGTCTTACCCGAGCACCATTCTGTACAAGGACGGCCAAGCTGCCGAGATTGTCAAGGGCGTCAAGGGGCTCGACGTCCTGACCACGGCCTTTGAGCCCTTCCTCGAGGCCGCCAAGCCCGGAACCCGTCCCAAGGAGCTCAACCTGCCCAACACCGGCGACAAGCAGACGCCCGACTTCAGCCCCGCCGCCGCCATTACCTCTGACACCAAGACCAACGCCGCTGACGGGGGCAAGACTGATGACCTTCCCAAGGCGGCCCCTGAGGAGGGCAAGGGCAAGAGCAGTGCGACGCCCGACAAGACGACTCCTGAGAAGACTGTCCCGAGCCCCAAGAAGACGATCCCCGAGGCGCCTCCCAAACCCACCGAGACCTTCAACCCTGATGGCGTGTCGGTGGCCCTGACGGCTGAGAAGTACGAGACCCTCGTTACAGGGTCCAAGCAGCCATGGTTCATCAAGTTCTACGCCCCTTGGTGCCACCACTGCCAGGCCCTCGCGCCCACCTGGGCCCAGCTCGGCAAGGAGATGAAGGACAAGCTCAACATTGGCGAGGTCAACTGCGACGTCGAGGCCAAGCTCTGCAAGGAAGTCGGCGTCCGCGCCTTCCCCACGCTTCTCTTCATCAAAGGCACGGAGCGCGCCGAATACGAGGGTCTTCGCGGCCTCGGTGATCTCAAGTCGTACGGTGAGGGTGCCGCGGCTGCGGCCGTCGGCGTCGTCGACGTCGACGCCGCCGCCCTCGAGGCTCTTGAGCAGAAGGAGGAGGTTGTTTTTGTCTACTTCTACGACCACGCCACGACGAGCGAGGACTTTGCCTCGCTCGAGAAAATGCCCGTCAACCTTGTCGGCCGCGCCCGCATCGTCAAGACCCGGGACCCCAAGCTCGCCGAGCGCTACAAGATTACCACCTTCCCGCGCCTTCTTGTCTCGCGCAGTGGCCGCCCGACATATTACAACCCGCTGACGCCTCGTGAGATGCGTGACGTCGAGGGCGTCCTCGCCTGGATGCGCTCCGTCTGGCTGCCCATGGTCCCCGAGCTGGTGGCCACCAACTCGCGCGAGATCATGGATGGCAAGATTGTCGTCCTCGCCATCATCAACCGCAACGACGCCGAGACGCTGTCCGACGCCAAGCGCGAGCTCAACAAGGCCGCCAACGACTGGATGGACAAGCAGATTGTTCTCTTCCAGAAGGAGCGCCAGGAACTCCGCGACGCCAAGCAGCTCAAGATCGACGAGGCCGAGGACCGCGGCGACGAGCGCGCCAAGGACAACGCCAAGCTTATCCGCGTCGACATGTCCAAGAGCCCCCGTAAGGAGGTTGCTTTTGCCTGGATCGACGGCGTCTTTTGGCAGCGGTGGATCAAGACGACATACGGCATCGACGTGAGCACCGGCGGCAACCGAGTCATCATTAATGACGAGGACGTAAGTTATCCCCCCCTCCCCTCCTTTTGTTCTCCTTTCCCAATGTCTACCGGGATCCCATCATTCCGCACACACAACAAGAAGGACTTGCTGACAAGACTCCAGCGCCATCGCTACTGGGATGTGACCGACACTAACGCCAACATTCTCCTTTCCCACACATCCATCCTCGACATGCTTCCCAAGGTGACGGCCTCGCCGCCCGAGATCCGCGCCAAGACGACCCTCTCCTTCATCTCCAAGCTCTTCTTCGACTTCCGCATGTCGTTTGTCGACCACCCCTTCCTGTCCGTCGGCGCTGTCCTCGCCGTCATGTTCGCCGGCGCCGGATGGGTGCGCAACCGCATGCGCCGTCACCGCGGCGGTCACTTTGTGCGTCTGGACGACAGCTGGAGCACCAAGGAGCTCATGAAGGAGGGTCTCATCGGTGGGGGCCCCAGCGGCAACGGAAAGGTCGACTAAGACGGGGTCAGAAGGGGAGGAGCTGCTGTTCGGGACGACATTGTGCATTCATGGGCTTTTGCGGAGTTTATAGGGGTTCCGGATAGTTTCTGAATATTCCTGTTTGTGTCATATTCGTTCGTGTCATCATTTCGTGACGGCCTGCCTTTCTTCTTCTCCTCTCATTTTATTTGAATTCTCTCTGGCAAGGCACGCCCTCGGCCTGCGTGTGCTCTACCGGTCAACCCTGCCCAAACGAGCCGCCGTCCCCCCCTCTGCCTGCCATCCGCGACGTGCCCTCGCCGGAGAGGCATGCACCAGCCCGCCGTCTCACGTGTAGAGTTCCTGCGTGAAGCTGTTGAGCTGGAGGCCCTCAATGGCAATGTCGGGCACGTCGATGAGGAACTTCAGCGGCATCTCGACGAGGTTGCCCCTGACCCTCGACAGCCACTCCTTGACCTCGGCGACGCCGCCGGGGAACTCCTCGGTGACAACGTGGCCGTACTCGACCTTGCCGTCGCCGGGCTTGCCGGTGCCGGGGTTGGCAAAGTGGCGGGAGAAGAACTCGTCGTAGTCCTTCCAGGTGCGGACGTGGTCGTTGGGCACGCAGTGGAAGACCTTGCTGAAGACGTCCGTGTTTGTGCGCGCCGTGCCGTCCCAGAGGTTCCAAAAGTTGCGCGACATGGGGTCGCGGACGAGGGCGTCGGCGGGCGAATTCCAGTCGTAGGCGTTGAGGCCTCGGTCGACGGGCGACCAGTTGCCGTGGGGGTCGGGGCTGTCGCAGCGCTGGTGCGGCAGGAGGCCGAGGTGCTTGCGGAAGATGTGGCGGCGCAGGCTGGCGGCGAAGCGCGAGGCGGCGTACGGCGCGCCGTCCATGTATGAGTCGACCGTGACGGGGTCCTCGATGACGACGGCAATCTCCGAGTCGTGCGAGCCCAGCTGCGAGCGGTCGTTGAGGTTAGCTGAGCCGCAGATGACGAGCCGGTCGTCGGCGATGAGCAGCTTGGTGTGCACGTAGAGCTGCTCCGTGACAAAGGCCGAAATCTCGGCTTCCGGGTCGCCCTTCCAGGGGACGGAGCGCAGGTCAGGCCCGACGTTCATGTAGCACGCCGATACGCTGTCCCAGGTCGAGTCGTCCAGCTGAGCGGCTGCCTGTTGGTAACGCTCGTACTGTCCCTGGCCCTGGCTCTGCTGCTCGCCGTAGGGGGCGTATCCTGAGCCCAGAGCGTTGTCGCGCTCCTTTCTCGCGTCCTCGTACGAGACGCCGCTCTGCTTCTCGGCCTCCTTCATAGTCGACGACACATTGATACGGTCGTAGCTTCGGAGGTTGTAGAATCGAATGTAGCGACCGACATCCTCGACGCCTTCCTTCTGTAGGGTTTCCAGGATGCTGTAGCCTCCTTGGCTGATGGACTTGTACTGGAATTCCATGATAGCACGCGTGCCCAGCGCATCGTCCGCCTTGAGGTCACCGGCGAACGCAGGGACCGCAGGCATAATCACAATGATTTTGAAGTTCTCGCCGGCCTCATGAGCACGGAGGATACGGTCCACCATGGCACGACCGATCTTGTTGCTGACGGGGCGCTGTTCATCGCAAGTTGCCGTAATAAAGAACTAAAGCCAGGTCAGCAATCACGGTCAACTAGGTTTGTCAGTGCCATACCTGATTTTCAATGTAAACAAAATGACGAGCGTTTGTAATGGCGTCAATGTAGGCATTCGCAATAGAATGCTCGGTGGCGTGTCCCGCCGACCATTTAGTGCAGCTGTCCATGTCAGCTAGGCTTCGCTTCGAGCCGTGGGCAGCCATTGAGCACTCACCTTCTGGTCAGTTGAATATTGGCGGGCTCGTTCTCACGATGAGGACGTTTTGATGTTTTTTCTTCATCACTACTGCTGTCGTCGTGCATGAACTTGTTGACACCCTTGCTGAAGCGGCCTGACAGACCACCCAGGAGTTGGCTGGGGTCCTGCTTGAGGAAGCCTCCGCGCTCATGCTCTCCGGATCTCCTATGGAAGCCCAGATGGCTGTGGCGAGGCTTGAACTCAATTCTCTCGTACTTGCCGGGGTTCTTGTGGGTGTACTTCTCGTCAAAGATGAAGTTCCTGTATAAGCGTCAGTCACTAGGTCAAGTGGTCAACGATAGTAGATCTGACCATCGATCAGTGAAATGTTCTGTCAGGCTCTCCACAACCGGACCGTTCAGACTAAGGCTGACATCAGACCATCCCATACGCGAGCTCTTGGTGCGGTCCACTAGCAATGGTCAGTACTACGGGGTTCAAAAGAGGGATGGCTGCCTGACGCTTATTTTGATTCCAGTTGCCGACGTCGGCAAAGTCGTAGACACGAGCATTGTTGTAGTCCTGGCCGGGGAAGACAATGGCATCCAGGTTGCCGGGGTGGGAGTCTGCAATCGGATGACCTGCAGCATGTCAGCAGGAGGTAGGACTGTGGTGCTCAAGTTTCGACTGACTGTTCGTGTCCCATCTGCCGAAACCTGTGTTCAAGTCAGCATTCTGGTCATCCGTCGGAAATCTTTCTCCGCTTACAGAGATCAAGTCCACCCATGAACGCCACTTTGCGGTCGATGAGGCACAGCTTCTCGTGGTGAGCCCAGAAGAGAACAACACCGTCAGTGGCCGTGCCGTAGATGGCCTTGAGAGCATCGCCCGAGACCTTTGAAAGGGTTGCCGTGTTCAGCGTCATGTTGGAGAAGCTCTGTCCCAGCTCCTTCTGAATGTCGTAGCCTGTAGGCACGTGGTCGGGGTGGCGGAACACGCTGATGTTAGGGTGCAGGCCTTCCAGATGCTTCCTGGTGTGCTGTGCGGGAAGTCAGTGGTGTCCACCTGATGGGAAACGGCCAGACACTTACAGCCGAGTTCACTACGAAGAAGAAGAAGAAGAAGAGGTGTCAGCATGGGAAGCTCGCACACATGCATCGTCAGATGACTTACACGTCAACGCAGCCTCGACCTCTCTGTAGACGATGATGCTGACCTTGACGCCCCTCTCGGCGGCCGCCTTGAGCATATTGTCAAGGCGGTACCGCTCGTTGGCAGCAGGGGGTCGGCGAAGGTAGATCTCGGGGCTCAGCCACCAGTCAAGGATGTAGATGCTCTCACGGGCATCTGAAGAGGGCAGGGTCAGTGAGTGTGCCGGATCCATCGGAGAGGGGTCATCTACGCACTTTCGAGAGCTTCGGAGACAGCCCAGAAGTAAGAACAGCCGTCGACATACCACTTCGCATTGCCAGTGGACTGAGGGGCGAAGGATTGATAGCGGTTGGATGCATGATGAGTAGGATGGTGCTCGTGGCATTCGTGGCCGATCTTTGTATGGGAGTGTCGCTCGTCGCCAAAAATGGCGTCAATGCCGCGCTCAACCTTGCGGAAGATAGAATCCATGGCGAGATAGACGTCCCGTCAGGTCAAGAATCAGAGATGAGTATGGATCGGTGAACTCAATCTCGAAGACCCGAATTGCGAAAAAGCAAGTGCTGCACCTGCGGTATAAATCGCCCCAGAGTGGTTAGGTTGGTTGCAGTGGGCAGTGGCGGAGCCGTACGAGGTGTTGAGGACCCAATGTCAGCAGCAGCACGCCAACATCAGCACGAGCTGAGGCTGCTGATGGAATCGGCGTTTGCGGCCGCATGCGACCGGCTCTCAGCCCATGTCTACGCCTGCCTTGATGCAGGCACTTGGCCGGCTCCCCGAACGGACTGATGCTTTCCATTAACCACCTCCGTTGCGGTCATGACTTTTGTCATCTCGACCGATGACCAGTGCAATGGAAGGCCTGATCGCCCGCGAAAATTTCAAACTCATCGATGGAAAACTTGTCTTCGTGAACTGCACTGTCGTTTTCCGTCGTGGTGGGTGCCTTTATCAGGCTACGTCGCCCTGCCGCCAAGTCGCGCCTTCCTCTATACAAGATCTCCAGAACATCACGCCTATTGCCCCCGAGGATTACCAACCCCTCGTGCCCGACGATGCCTTCATTGCACATGACCCCGCACTCTACTACGTGAAAGTGCCAAACTTGCTGGCACAGAACGGGCCTTCCTCGCTTACACAACCAATACTGCAAGATCTTGCTGTTTGCGAGATGCTACGGAAGCGTCCTCATCCCAATCTAGCACGATACCATGGGTGCATCGTTTCGCGCGGCCGAGTGGATGGCTTATGCTTCATGCACTATCCCCAGTCGCTGACGTCTCTGCTTAATCCAGGGCACTTGAACAAGGTAGATTTCATCACCTCCCTCGAAACCCGAAAGCGGAAGGCCGGCACGGCACGGTATCTCGACAGCATCGAACTGGGCCTTCGACATCTTCACTCCCTCGGCTTCAATCACAACGACTTGAACCCAGCAAACATCATGATCACCGAAGACGACATCCCCGTCATTATCGATTTCGACAGCGCCACAGCGCCCGGAGCAAGCCTTCAAAATGTGAAGCGCACGCATGGGTGGTTTGACCATCGTGTTGTTGTCTCGCAGCAAAGTAACGATCTGGATGCCTTGGCTGAGATTCGTATCTGGTTGACCGGTTCCTCTCCAAATGAGTATCGTTTTGATCTATGAATGAGCAGCTGCGAAACCAAGAAAATATGAACTTGAATGGTGTGTCAAAGAGCAAGCCCGTGTGCCGTGAGGTCCAACATCCACCCCAACACGCGCGCGCTTGACTGTCTCCCCGAATACCCTGCTTCCTACTTCTTCAGAACATACTTAACGAATGCTTGGTAGACATGTGCTCTGCGCTGCTTCGTAATATTCTGTGTAACATCCGTGGAGGTTCTGCGGCGAGGCCCAACTGTTTGTTTCACAGGCACAGGCACACCCTCTGCTAGCTGGCTTCGTGGCAATGTCAAAGTTTTATGACCGACCTGGTTCTTGAGGAGTTCATGGCTTCGACGACGCGGCACAGAGGCCGCATTGTAGGGTCCATCCGGTCCGCCATGACAAAGACCGCAGGTGCTTGACATGGTCGTAGGGGTTTGAGATAGCGCAGGAGGCGAGCGTGCTGTTCAGGTGTTGTTGCAGTGAGAGACTGATACGGGTTTGAGGTTGGCCGCAACGACAATACTTTCAGGTCTATGCAGCATCACGCGCGATCTTTCAGCAGTGCGGAAAAGACCATGAACCCCCTTTCGCTATCAAGCATAAGTGCCTTGACTGGTTTAGGCTGGCAGCCAGAGTACCATGTTGATAACATTCAGATATGCCGCAGCTCTAATAATAGGGATTCTTCTTTGCTGACAGCATCCCACGCTTGGCAATCGACTCCATGCAGCAGTATGATGTTCGAAGGAAAGTAACAATCCAAGCATGAATGAAGCTGGTGCTCGCTCACGCACATGAGAGACCCCGGGCTGCTCAAACTGCGATCAGCAAACCTGCGGCCGCAGTTAACCCCACGAAAACCAAACATCGTCAATAGAACGACTTGACGAACACTTTCCGATCGTAGTTCGTTTATTCATTCGCATTCAGTAATGGTCACGGGAAGTCGTCGGATGAAGTCGCTGTTGAGTACAGGTGGATCATTCTTATCTTATCGCAACTTTATGCTCACGTCCAGTCCACGGGAAACAGAATTGAACCAGAATTTCGGTCTTGGCCATCGTCAAGTTCAAGCAGTGCACGACTGATTGCTCGCCAATCCTCCGAAGAAGCTGCCATGGCTTCCAGGTGCTCGAGTGGCAGTCACTCCTTATTTCTTCCCTTCTTGTATCCTTCTTGTTTCACATCGATCACAACCAATGTCCCCCGGTCCATCGCGAAGACCCTGAGCAACCCTCCCCGTCGCCACAGCTCTACACACGTGGCCCAAGAATCGACATCGTCGCGCCTGAACCCGGCACCCGAAGACTATGCAGCCCCGAATTTCGCTGACAAGGCGTCCCTGACGCTCTACGCCGGCGGTGGCGGCAATGGCTGCATCTCGTTCTTGCGCGACATGTTCCTGCCCGAAGGGCCCCCAAACGGCGGCAACGGTGGCCACGGCGGGAACATCTACATTCAGGCCGTGCATGGCGAGACTTCTCTGCATAAGCTAGCTCGAAAGCGCTTCATACGGGCGGAGCGGGGGAAGAACGGTCAGGGAAGTGCCAAGGCGGGCCAGCGTGGTGAGGATATCATCATCACGGTGCCCGTAGGTACCATCCTGCGAGAGATCAGCCGAGAGGATCCCGTCGCTGAGGACATCACCTATCGCCGCGCCCTATACTACGAGCGGAAAGCATGGAAGACGAGAAAGCGCGAGCGGGAAGAGGAGGCTGCTGAGGCTGCCAGGCGCGAACTTCTTCGCGCGGAGGACGGCGAAGAGGTTGACGACCATGATCAGTCGGCAGCGAAGCAGAAGGAAACAGAGCTGGAGGACGACCCTGAGCCCGAAGATCCCGACCGCGAAAAGTTCCTCGTCTACCCCGGTGCCGCCAGGAGCGAAATCAAGAGTCTTGTCTTCCCCAAGGCCCCGCGCCGCGAGCGTTACTACCACCAGCCCCCTGGACCCCTGAACATCGACCTGTCCCGCCCGACCCCTACGCCTATCCTCCTCGCCGCCGGCGGCATTGGCGGTCTCGGCAACCCACACTTCGTCTCTCGCGAGTACCCACGCCCCCTGTTCGCCACGAAGGGCGAACGCGCCGTCACCATGGAGGTCGAGCTTGAGCTGAAGCTCCTCGCCGACGTCGGCCTCGTCGGTCTCCCCAACGCCGGCAAGAGCACCCTCCTCCGTGCCCTCAGCAACTCCCGCACCCGCGTCGGCAACTGGGCCTTCACAACGCTGCAGCCCAACATTGGCACCGTCGTGCTCGACAGCTACAAGGGCCGCCCCGTCATGCGCTCCTTCAAGCGGGCGCCCTCGACGGAGAACGGCGGCGTCCTCCCCGCCGACGAGCATGAGCAGCAGGCCGAGGCGCGCACGCGCTTCACCATCGCCGACATTCCCGGCCTCATCGAGGGCGCCCACATCGACCGCGGCCTCGGCATCGCCTTTCTGCGCCACGTCGAGCGCGCCGGCGTCCTGGCCTTCGTCATTGACCTCTCGGCCGGCAACGCCGTCGCCGCGCTCGATGCGCTGTGGAACGAGGTCGGTCTCTATGCGAGGATGCGCGAGGATGAGGAGCGCAGCCGCGAGGCCGACGCCAAGATCAACTGGGAGATCGAGGAGGAACAGCCCGCGCGGCCCAAGTACAAGGGCCGCTTCAGCGACCCCGTCATGATGGTCGCCGACGCGCCGGCTGAGCCGGAGCGCGTCTCGGGGTTGCACATTGCCTCGAAACCGTGGTATGTCGTTGCGACAAAGGGCGACAAGCCAGAGACGCAGGAAAATTTCAAGGAGCTGCAGGCCTATTTGGAAGATATCAAAAATGGCGTCAAGCCGCACCCGAGCGGCATTGAGGAGGCTTGGACGGAGCGGGTCACTGCCATCCCCGTCAGTGCCATCAATGGGCATGGTGTGGACAGGATTGTCCACTGGACTGTAGGATTACTGGACGACTAAAGCGGGGATCTGTAGGATAGTTGCAATCTGTGCATATCACCACTTTGTAAAACAACATGTATTCAAGTTTCATAGAGGAACACCACGTAACAACCAGCTCCTTAATTTTTTCGCGTTTTCTGTCCCTCCACGCAGTGGGTAGGGTATGTCAATGGAAGGGGCACATGACAGCACAGATGAAAGATATCTAGTCATATTGATATATGCTTCCGCAGTCTAAACCAAGACACTCAGGTCGTGCCCTTCCCAGTGGCCAAAGAACACCCATGATATCAACGAGAGATGCATGCCCAACCACAATGCTTGTATATCCGTCAACGCCTTGATCCCAACGCACGAAAAAGCCACCTCGCCCCAAGTCTTGTCTATACTCCCCGCCTCTAGAGAATGCCGAACCACCCCTTGACACGTTCATACGTGTAGAAGCTGACTGCCGCGAGAGGGACCACCTTGACATAGCCAATCGTCAAACCGATGAAGAAACCTGGCACACCGCGTTCCCGGAAAATGAGGGCCGCCGTCTCGCCTATGCGCATGCGGTGGCCGTCGCCGACGGCGCCGCCGACCTGCATCCGCCGACGGATGACCTCGAGCGGGTAAGACGCAGTCTGCGAGACGAGGCCAGCGACACCGCCGGCAAGAAGCTCTGCCCATGAGCGGAGAGGCGCGGGCTTGCCGGAGGGATAATTCTCCGGCTTCGGGAGGGTGGTGTAGGCGGCTAGGCGGGGGCTGCGGAGGAAATCACCGGCCGTGTCGTGGGTGAGGAAAGACATGCCGGCGTAGGGTAGCATACCCAGCAGGGTAGGGGTAAAGCCTCGGTAGAAGTTGGCGAGGCCAGAGCGAGGCGTTAGTGCGGCCGCGGCAGCTGAAGGTGTCGCCGCGATACCGGATGCTGTAGTGGCTGTCGTGGCTGTCGCGAGCGATGGTTTCGAGGAGAAATTTTCAGAGTATATACGTCGGCAGATGGAGGTGAGGCTGGAATGACTGTGTTTTGTCTCGAATGCGAGGCGGACTCGGATGACCTCGAGGGGATATGTGAAGAAGACGGACGTGACACCAGCCATGGAGCCGCTGATGAGGCGGCGCCAAGGCGTCTCCTGGTCGCGGTTACGGATAACGACAGAGCGAATCTGCTCGTAGGCGAGGAACTTGATGCCGGCGTAAGGAAAGATTCGAAGAAGAGTAGCCGAGTGCCCGCGGAAGAGGCCTGTGACACCATCTTGGTGGTGGATATCTCGCATGGCGGTCACGACGCCGAACCATGAGCCAGTGTATTTAGCGAACTGAGGGCTGCTCGCCTGGAACAGAATCTTCACTCGATCGAGAGGTGCAACGACGGTTTTGGCCTACAGTTGAAGTCAGATGAAGACAATCAAGCCCGGAGTAACGACAAGATACATACGGCACACCCAGCAAGACCGCCAGCAACGCCTGAGCGCCATAAATAATCAAAGCTTCGAGTCTTCTTCCTCAGGGCTACGGTGTCGTCGTCATCGGTTGGGCACAAGGGCGGGTTCTTTTTGTCTGCTCTGGCCAGCACGACATCCTTTGCGCTGGCCATTGGAGGGGCATGTCCCAGGAGGGCGGAAGGCATCTATGGCTGGTCCCGGGGGTGGGATGGTAGTGCAGGTTCGGGAGGAGGGGTTCAGTGTTCGAGATGGTCGTACGCGCCTTCGTGGGCTTCACGTGTCGAAGGGCTTCGGTTGCTACCGAGACTGCATCTCCAGAGTCGCGTTCCAGAGAGAGGTTGGTGACAATGTGCAACGTCCTAGGTAGGCGTCTAGGTTCAAGGTTTCGAGGGCTACGGATCGTCGGCGAAGGGTCGAATTGTCAGAAACATCGGCCACACACATGGAATCTTGGATGGGAGGGTCGCCCGGCTTGCAACGGGGCCTGTAGGTCTGGAGAGGCTCCAGCGGTTGTTACAGGGCTTTTCCAGGTCGGGTAGCCTAGTTGAGACTAGCCTCCTCGCCATTCTTGCTGTGGTAAGTATTGGATGGGTTAATTCGCCCGGAAATTCATTCAGCCTCGACAATTCTTTAAAGCAGCGACACTCGGCTTTTGGAGGTGTACAGGTGGAGAGGACGTCATTCGCATCTAGCGGTCTTCTGACTGGCCAAAGTCCGTTGTGGAGGTGGGTCTTCCGGAGAAGAGGAGCCTTTACACGGTGTCGCTCTTGCCGAGGATTACCGCGCCCAAGCCGAGCCCTGGGTCGGGAGAGATCTAGCCCCCTCATCGTCTCTGCCTGTCGAACGTCAGGGGTCTTTACACCATTACTCATCCGTCACGCGACCATCGTCGACCTTCATCGGTAATCACGCTCCCAGTTCTAGAGGCCGATTTCGCTGGCATTGTGCGCCGTAAGGCTAAACTCGATCCAGAAGGTCGATTGAGAAACCCAATTGACACACACCTGATGGAGGTCAACGCCCTTCATCACCATATCGCCGGGTGGCTACCAACACACACTTACGACGTCCAAAGATATATAGGTCCCTTAAGGTAGACAATTATGGCCGTTCCGCCCATCATGTTCAAATCACTATATGCGTCGTGGTTCTTGGTGGTAGACACTTGGCAGCGACCGCTGTGAAGTTATTGATCACCATGAACGCCAACGGCATCAGTTCTGTTGCTGTAGCTATGTGCTGTGTCCTCTGTTTATCTCTATGGATCATTCAAAGGCACCAAAGCCGTAGAGGGAAGCAGCGAGCATCGAGGACACATGTGGATGTCGCTTCCGTGAAGCCACTGGTGGATTTTCACTGGAAATCAGCCAAACTACCATCGTTACGAGAATTTCGATCCATCTATAACATCTCCATGGGTATGAACTCTCGGTGGGACTATCGAGTTCGGCATTCATCTAACGTATCAAGCAGGCATCAAGTCAGATACGCCTTCAGCCCTCATCTCCATGGATGAGGGGTACCTCGAGCGAATCGAATATCGACGAGAACTCATGGCCGAACATGCTGGCACGGTGCTGGGTGTTGTGCCTGGCGGAGAAGCCCCCGTACGCGAACTCTATAGTTACTTGCTGAGGCAGTATCTTCCGGTTCGGTTCCCTTTGATGTTCCAGCTCTCCGCTCAAGACGCGCAACTTACCAATTCGGTCACGGGGCGATCATTTCCCACCAAGCCACCGGCTGAAACCCTAGAGGCATTGTGCATCCTCGGTGAAATCGTGGAGGAAGACCTTGTGTTCCTCGTGCCGTCGCCGGAGGGGCTTCGTATGGTTGCACACCTTTGGTGTTTCCCCTCGGGGTTTGACCCTGTTGCGAAGTTGGGCAATACCTTGGACGCCATCCACAAGCCGGTACCAAGCTATGAAAAGATTGGGCCCAGCATGCAGCGCTTTCTCTCGAAGCTGCAGAGTGGAAAGCCCATCAAACGCACAAATGTCAGTGTCTCTCGGAGAACGATGTTCGGGCTTCTGGTCTGGGCTTGGTAGCTGATTACGATGCCTCCTACAGTGGTCTGTGCAGCCTCATCCTGAGCTGTTCGATTGCAACGCAAATCGGAGATTAAAGGACTACGAAGCCATAAAAAGCAGTGACATAAGAATGGAAGATGTAAGCCAACCTGCTTCACCACACCTCTCACACTGTTGCTGCCATTTCTTCTGCTGCTGACGGTTGACAAATGATACAGAGTTATCTGCGCTCTGAATTGCAGACTTTGAGCCGTCTGCCGAACACGGAGGCGGTTGTGTTTTTTATCAAAACGTACATGTACAGTGTTTCCGAAATCAAAGCAGAGGGCCTCGGCCCCCAGTTCGCCGAAGCTATCGAGGGGCTGAAAAAGGGCAATGCGCCAGGCATGTGGACCTACAAAGGTGCGTCGCACTGGGGCGAAACTGTTTGCAAATACATGCGTTCTTGATGAGCGCCTACCTCGGACTCGTGGCTATTGAAATAGAGACACTGCTTTCATGCTTTGTTGTTAGACTCACCAGCGAGGATTGTCCGAGCCAAGCACTCGAGGGGCGGTGGTCTCCATCAGACTAAGCCGTTTAGACCCCGCAGTCGACTCAGTCGATGACAATGTCCGATATTCGGGCTAGCCGGTACAAACACCGATGCGTGCTATGCAGTCAAACAACGCTGCTCGTGATTTCACAACTCTTCAGGGTGAGGTTATATGACCACAAGGAGTACGATACAAGCACACAAGAATATGCAGAGAAATATTCGAATTGACTCATTGCCAGCAAATCGTCGGTCAGCATCAAAAGGTCGGTCCCCAAATGAGCAAGTCGTTGAATAGACCACATAGGCTGACATGACAGATTGCCGATACTGTGTTGAACGACGCATCAGATGTGACCGGAGCCTACCGACATGTCTGAAGTGCAAGAGTCGAGAACTGAGATGCCCAGGGTTTGGACCCGTCAATGTGCGATGGAATCAAGGGATCGCTAGCAGGGGCAAGTTCTCCGGCAGGCGCAAACCGGTCCTCGATGATCTCGCCAGTGGATCTGATATTTCAGCAAATCAACATCGCGATCTGAAGGCAACATTCGAGTCTGATATCGTAGACAGACAACTCCAGACTCACAGCCCCACAGAGGGCCAGCCGGTACAAGACTTACGGCTCATCAATTCTCACTCTTCCTCCGCACTTTTCAGCAGCCTTCTCCGCCACTTTCAAGCCGAGGTCGTCCCTCGTTTGACATGGGTCGATCCTCCGGAGAGTCCGTGGAGGCAGATGACCAGAAACAACACCCGGCATCCCACTTGCCTCCACTTGTCCATCGGCAGCCTTGCTGCCGCTCACCTATCTATCGCTTCCGCCAGAACACCAGACCAGAAGGCTCGTTTCCGTCGTATCCACCATCAGCTCCACGACGCGGCACTTCGGGGGCTGAACCAGAGAATGCGCAAAGAGCTGCATTCTTGTAGCACATCACGAGGAGCTCACCCGCCTAGCTCGGCGGTTCAGGAGATTCTCGCGACAATGGTTGCACTTTGCTATTCTGAAGCTTTTATTCCAGGATCAAAGAACTGGAATATCCACTTGCGAGCGTGTCGCACCGTAATTGATTCTCAGCATCTACCAAATGGAAATTCGCAGCATCTCAACCCAGTCCAGAGGTTTCTGCTGAAAGAGGTTGCGGATCTAGAGACATTGAGTAACATTTCAGTCTTCAGCCAAGGAACAATTGCATCACATGAGCCGCCTCTACAGTCTATCTATGATGGCTCTTTCTGGGCTTTCACGGGGCTCGTCTACGAGATCACAATCGAGGAACGTAGACGACATCGTGCTCTGCAAATGCAACACCGAAATGGCCCTGAAGTGAACATGGCAGAGTGGCGCGAAAAGATCGACAGAGCCTACAATACTCTCTCTACCTCCTGTCCTTTTTCTGCAGAGGAAGTCTATAAACAGCAGAGTCTTGATGCAGTGCTGAAGGCCCACTACTACGCCAGCCTTATATACAGCCACCAAGCATTTGCATCTGCCGACAAGGTTTCGAACCTTGTCAGCACAATACTGGAACCTCTTCTGCAGGAAATGCACTCTGTACTCGCAGGGCCTACGCAGGCGCTTTCACATGACCTTTTCTTCCCCCTTTTCATTGCAGGTACAGAGTGCCACGGCGACAAGCAGAGGCAAGCTGCAGTCGAGCAGCTATACCTCGCCTCGCTGTCCACCACTGGACTATGGTTCAACAACACGTCACTGCAGTTCTTGCAGGTATTTTGGGCAAGTGCAGCAGTGGATGCGGAATGCTGGATACAGTTCGCTCGAGAGAATGAAGCACGGTTGGGCACCTTCATTGCCTTTTAGAGAGCGTGCTTGAACGAAAGATACCCACAAACGAACATTTCCTCTTACGTAATGCAGTTAGCCTTTCATCATCAAGCCTGTGTGTTTGACAATCTAATTCTGGTTTTCGATCCCCAACTTAGTATCTACGATCATCGGATGGCAATACCACCAGCAACTTGTTAGCAGCAGCTCCGCCAGGAGTTTGACTGTTGCACTATATGTCAGCCACAGAGTCGACGCTAGCCTCCAATAAGCTAGACAGCAGGTCCTGTATCTTATTTCAGGATGAAAAGAAGTCGGTCTTTCTCCTGGATATACCAAGATCTCTGGAGGAAGCCCAGGTCCTGCCGGGCCAAACCCCACCACGCCGCATCCTCTCGGGCGTGCCCATCTCAGCCCCTTTCCCGACGCCAGAACCTAAGGATGCCGACAGCAGACGTCATGGCCAGGAGCCCTCGGCTTTATTGGCAGATCTCATGACAGGGGCAGCCGTAAAAGGAGCTCTCGACATGCTGTTGGAGCATCACACGGGCCCATTCTGTCTTTCTCGAATCACGCGGCAGAACGAGACCGCGGCTCCGTCTGAAGACGAATTGACTCATTTCATCCCGATCAAAAGTCACTATTTTGACGGTACCGTAGAGGAAAAGAGAGGAAACTTCATCGAAGAGGCGCCATCCTTTGATCTCATACTTCTGGACCCTCCTTGGCCGAATCGATCCGTGAAGCGGAAACGCGATGGCTATGCCACTGCGTCGAACGTAGCTGCGACAAGATCTCTGCTGTCCCAGATTCCCGTCGCATCTCATCTGGCCGCAGATGGACTTGTCGCCGTCTGGGTCACCAACAAACCCAGTCTCGTTGAACTGTTGACCGCCAGTGGCACAGGTATGCTCACCGAATGGGGGCTGGAGCTTGTCACCGAATGGACGTGGCTCAAGATCACGTCAACGGGGAAGCCAATGTTTGAGCTCGACTCGGCCTGGAGGAAGCCTTGGGAGCGGCTGCTCATTGCCAGACGAATTGGAAGCCGGGCCAAGGTACCGCAGAGGGTATTGCTCGCAGTACCGGACATTCACTCAAGGAAGCCTAATCTCCGCCCCGTCTTTGACGACGTGCTCCCACAAGGGTTCGTCGGTCTCGAGGTGTTTGCGAGGAACCTTACAGCCGGGTGGTGGAGTTGGGGAAACGAGGCCCTTCGCTTCCAAGAGCGAAACCAATGGTTCAACTCGAACGAGGTCGATACTGCTGCGCACACCCCAAGGGCACCCTACGATGAGTGAGGAGAACGGTTTGAGAAAAAAATCGCCTTATTTTATGGTCCCAAGCTTGAAACACGTGTTGTACAACCCACGCCTTGCATGGACAGTATGATACATCTTTCTTCCCCTCGCCCGCCGTGTCCCCGGCCTCTATCACGCCTGCTTCTCCCACTTCTCGTCCAGCACCGCATCCGTCTTCCACTCGGCCTGTCCCTTCAGCAGCATCTCCGCCCTCTCCTTCACCGCCTTGCGGTGGCTGGTCATGGGCTCCTTGCTGGGGTACTTGAGCTTGCCCGATGCCTGCTCGTTCCTCGTGATATTCTGGTCCGCTTGGCGCTTTTCGCGCGCATCCCAGAGCTTCTTGTTCCAGGGCTCCAGGTCCTCGGGCACTTGGGGCCACACAAATGGCCGCGTGAGCTCGACGGTCATGAACTTGATCGACTTGGGGTGATAGGCCGCGCCGCGTCCGTCAAGCTTGCGCTCAACAGGGGGCATCTTGACCCAGCTGCGGACGGCGGTCGTCTCGACGCCGTAGAGGTTCCAAAGGTAGTCGCGAATGTCGAACTTGTTGAATCGCAGGGGGACCTCGAAGGTCGCCCAGTTTGGAGGGTTGTGGTCCTTTCGGTGGAAGGTGATTACATGGTTCGGGCTACAGGTCCGTCAGATTGAGCTGGAGCAGGGACAGAGGTTACTTGAAGACAATACGTACAGAAAAACATTCTTCTTTCCTAGGCGGAAAGGCGCCTTGGCTAGCGCTTGTGCTGGCTGCGACATGTTGTGATGGATGAGGTGTTCAACACGACGTCGACGGCCTGGAAATCGGCTGCTTCAATGTGATCCAGACGGCCAAAAATTCAGGGAGTCTTTGTCGGTCGCGTTGATTGGTTCAGTGGGACCCACCAATGAGCCACGAAAATCCGATTATGTAAGCGTACCTCCTTCTCACCCCACCTTCATTGGTCAGACTAGTACAAGCTGTCTTGACATTGCAAAACTCAGGATCGCAGAATCTAATACCCGATGCGATTCGATTGCTATTTCATGAGGTTTTGAGTGACATCAATTCTCGCTGAAAACATGACCCGGGTGCCGAGCAAGAGCTGTTTGATGGGCTGGCTTATACGAAGGACGCCAGTCAGGTGTTCGTCGTGGATCAGGCATCATAACAAAAGGTCATCGACAGTGGAAAATAAAGATCTCAAGCCAAGCATTTATTCCTATAGCAAACAGAGAAGGCGTTAAGATCCTTCAAAAAATATAACCATACCCATAGCGAGCCTCTTGGGGCTGCTCCTTGTTCGCCTCGCTGTCTATAATTTACACATCAAGGCCGTCGACGACGACACCCTTAACCCAGTTCCACTGCATCACGCGGGCCACCTCGTTAGCCGACTCCTCCGAGATGAGAGCGCTGACCATGTATAGAGCCGCATCTATACCAGCGCTGACCCCCCCGCTCGTGACAACGCGAAGACCGCCGAGACGCATCGCTGCGCGACGAGCAACGGATTCGCGTCGTCCTGAGCCCTGGAAGGAAATGCTGCCCTTTCTGTGGTGGTTATTAGTACGCGAACCTATGCCGTGAGGTCATATTCGGGGCATACCGGGCATTGGAGGGGCGACGGCCAGCGTCGGATGTACGTCGAATGTAGGGGTTCTCGTCCTCGTCGCCAATGTCGAAGCGGAGGTTGTTCACGACATAGCGAGCGCTCTCGATGACGTCGGTGCGCTCACCGAGAGTCTTCTGCGCAGACTTGCTGCAGAGGTTCTCAAAAGTAGTGAGGAAGTCGGGGTGGGTGGTAGCAGACAAGCCGGCGAGGATGCCCTGCTTGGCGAGGAAGAGAGAGCCGGTGCAGATGGAAAGAAGGGTACGCTCGCGAATGGTGTCCTTCTGCTGAAGCTCGGAGTACGCATCGATGAGCTGAAGGGGTTCAGCCTCACTTTTAATGACGGCATCAGTGCCGCCACCGACAACGACGAGAACATCGAAGTCATTCAGGCGCTCGTGTGCCTCCTTGTAGGAGATCTGAGAGCCAATGAAGACGCCCTGCTCGGACATGACCTTGGGCTCGGCAGCGGCCACGGTGCATTCGAAAGCCGTGGTAGCTGAATGTACAGTTAGCTAATGGTTGGCCATTGTGTGTGAGGTGATCGTCACGAATGCGGGGTCCAAGAGAGGGGTCGAGGGATAGGGTTTGGACAGCCACACTTGCTTGTCAGGGGATCGAGCTGAGCACTTACACTTGTCATTCTCGTAGTTGGCAGTCGCAAAGACCTCGAGAGGACCGGCAAAGTCAGTAATGTTGAAATTGGGGTGCAGGGCGAACAGAACCTCAATCGGCTCGTCCGCCACTGCAGAAGTCTTGGTTGCCATCGTGCCGGTATTTGGTGGGGTTGGTGAGTTTTGCAGTGGGGGGAAGCGTGTCAAGACCTTGAGGGCTTTGGGAAAGATATACCGCGTCAATTGGGTATATAGTAGCTCGAGATGTTGGGTGCAGTAGAACAGACAGTTGATGAGTGTGTGATGATGATGGAATGGGAGGGGGGAAGGAAGAAGAGTAGAAACGGCCGGAGAGGAGGGGAAGAAGTAGGAAAGAAGATCGAATCGAGAGTGGAAGACCCGTGACCTCCCCGTGACCTTAGGTGAGGGGCAGATCTACCAAAGGCGTAACAGCTGAGCTTTAGGACAGCTCCTCGCAGCTCCCAAATGCATTCGAGGGGAAGCTTGACCAACGGCAACGGTCCTGCACCGTCTGGTCCAGCAAGAGAGCGCCAGCAAGCAGCAGAAGCAGCATCAGTAGCTCAGGGATCGGTGGTGCCTTCCGTCATGCCAGGACCCACCTCCTACAGCATGAGATGCTCTACCCCGGCGGTCCAGTGGTGTGTTTCTAGGGTCATGCGACAAACATTCCTACTCAGAATGCGGGGTAAACCCAAGTGAGCTCACACTGCACCGCGACGGGCTGAGACAGCTACAGAAACTGGGCCGCCTGCGGCAAGGACGGGTGGGTAATGTGGAGCGCCGGCACCTGCCCTTGCCTGCAGCTCATCGCGCTCCACCGGACCCGTCACCCGTGGCTGCTCGCCTGCTCGCCTGCACTCGTAGCCCCGCCCGCGGAAGCCTGGTCTGGCCTAGCAGCCCTAGAGTGCCCTGGCAAGCTCTGGGTGGTCCATGCGACCTGCCGAGCTGCCCTGCAACATCAGCAGATTTGTCGTCTAACTGTTGCATGTCACCCCTCGGACCACGCACTTACGACCTCAAGTCTTGTCGTTGCCAGCCGGCCCTATGAGGCCGTGAGACCTGTGTCATGGCGTCTTCTGGGTAAGTCGTATCGCTTTTCTTGTTCCAGTCCTACCTACCGCACATGCGCGATATTCTGCCTCGGTCCCTCTTGAGCTTCGAGCTGTAACAGCTTCACCAAAACCCATCGTCGACCACAAGCTTGGGCTGTCGGCGGTGTAGGACACGCGTTTGGGACGCGCAAGCTAACAAGAATATCCGTAGCTCCTTGAAAGACCTCTCTAAGGCCATCAACGCCTACTACAGCAATGCGCCGACACTCCCCCTCCCGGACGAGCTCACTCGAGCCATTGAGGCGTATCTTGACAAGCACGAGAAATTTGACGATCAAACCTCCGAGAAGCTGCACGATGAACTGCAGGCCATATACAATAGCCATGTTGCAGGCCAGCCGTCACGATATGCCAGCTTCATCGCTATCTTCCGCCGCTTCGTGACTGTGATCCGCACCCCGGCCCGACTGTTTCACTGGTGGGACATCATGGGCGAATCTGTCGAGATGAACGCTGTGCAGGAGAAAGGACTACTGGCGGAGTCGGCCGCAGGAACTATGGACCTACTGATGATGGGAGATGTCGACGAGCAAGAAAACAAGGCAGATGGTGCTGTGAATCCCTTTGCTGAACGCCTCTATCTCGCCTGGATGGACAAGCATCGTCCCATTGAATCCTCGCAGGGCGACGAGAGCGATATTGGAGGAGGTTCCACCGAACGTCCCATGCGAGAAGGCTTGATTGCGTGGGGCAAAAAGAAACCCAAAGTCCGTTTCCATCTTTCGGACAACCATCTAGGAGCGACCTGCTGACCCAAGCCAGGATTTTCTTCTCCTCATCGATAAATATTTTGTCAAAAGCGAGTATCGGAGCAGATCAGCGAGGATGCTGTGCGACTTCATTCAGAAACAACCTCCACACTTGCATTTGATCTTACAGACACCTCTTTTTGGGAACTTACTTCGTTGCCTCCAACACGATACCTCGACCACTGCAGTTTCTTTAGCGATCACGACTCTGATTATGATCCTCCCTCACATGCCGAGCTCACTTGTTCCCTTTTTGCCGATATTGTTCAACATTTACGCCAGACTGCTTTTCTGGGACAATGAGCGCACTGGCACTGTTGAGGCAGCTTCGGAGGACAACGACGCACGAAGCCTCACATCCGCTTCCGGATGGGAAGCTTCGACTTTCTGTGCGGAGTCGGACGATCTCGAAATCCGCCATCTCGCAAGCTACTTCACCATCTTGTATGGAATGTACCCTCTCAACTTTACAGACTATATCAGAAAGCCCCAGCGCTATCTCAGGCATGCCAATGCCGCCGAGTCTGACGAGGTTGACGTTCAGCCGACCGAGATTCGCGATCGATCAGAGAGGTTTCGACAAAGTCACCTGTTGCATCCCAACTTTTATACTCTCACGATAGACTCGGAAAAAACCGACCTTGGGCGTTGGCTCAACTGCGAGCCCGCTGAGCTGGTGGCTGACTGCATGGCTCTCCGAGTGCCCACCGACACAGTCTCAAGCGAGCTCATGCCTGCATCTCAAGTTGCAGGTGCTGCCAGTTCCTTCTTTAGTGATGGGTCCGAAGGCCTTGATCCTGCACTTCTCAGTGGTTCGGGTCCAGACTCGAATATTGACAGCTGGAGAAACACGCAGGACTCGGGGCGTGAATCGCAGGCGAGCAGCAGGATACAGTCGACAGTCCAGCGGCAGCCATCTCAATCAAGTCATTTTTCTAACAGAGATTCTACGGATACGCGAAGCCGTGGAGTTGACGGAGACAGCCCGACACTCCCTCCTCATCTTGTTGTGTCCAATTCGCATACGCACCTGCAAGATATGATACAGTCCAACAAGGCCATCAAGTCAGGCTTGCATCAGTCTCTGGCGAATGATAGCGTGCCATCGTTGGCTCTAAGTCATGCCGATTCTTTTCCAGAAGGCCTGGCAAGTCACGTCCCGAGCCATGCACCAACGCCCGCGCCGGTGGTCCCATCGCCACTATCACTCGCTGGAACACAGACCCAATCAGCCCATTTGCAGCGGCAGGTCATGCTGCTGCAGAACGATCTGAACTTTGAAAGATATCTGAAGCAGCAGCATATGGCACACATTGGTGAGCTGCGGCGCAAGCAAGTTCGCGAAGCTGCAAGCGAAGCCGAGGCGCAGCACCTTATCCTGGCGAACCGCAATCTGAGAAACAGACTTGATGATGCGAAGAAGGCGGAGATGCAGATCAGAAAGGAATCTGAAAGGAGTCGAACTCTAGCCAAGAAATGGGAATCTGACCTGTCAGCAAAGCTCCGTACACTGAGGGAAGAGTCGAAAAAGACCAAGACGACAGAGGAGTCTTTGCGTAGAGAGCTGCTGAGCGCAAAGCAGGAGGGCGAGAAGCTCCGCAAGATTGTGTGCGACGCCGAAGTGAAGGAACTGAACTCAAGGCAGAACATGCAATCTGTTGAGATTGAGGCAGCTGAGATCTCTCGTCTCAAGGCTGAAGTCGACAGACTCACCATGTCAGAGCGTGATCTTCAGGCCAAGGAGGTAGAGAGACAAACAGCGATGAATTCAGCTGCCGAGTCCGAGAATCGCTCTGAGATACTAGACCTCAAGCTTGCGTCCAAGGAGAGAGAACTTGAGAAGACCAAGAAGCTCTGCCAGTCTCAGATTGCTGCTCTCACGATGCAATTGGCAGAGGCGCAGGAAGGGCGACGACCTAGGCGTACGGTCGCCGCCGGCGACGACACAACGGCGGAGGGTACCCTTGCGGCCAGTCGAGCAAAACAGGCTGAGCTGCAGAAGCAATACACGAACCTCATGAGGAGGTTTACCGTGTTGCAGTCCCAATACGAGGATGGCAAGTTGGCGGTAGGTTCTGTTACGTCGCAAGGCCGTCACGAATTCCCTTTTCGCATGGAGGGTGACGACGGGTCGACGCATTCCAGTAGTCCGGTCAATGTGAGGTCAAGGCCACACCGGGTTTTTTCCGACCCGGACTATCTCGACCCAGTAACATCATCGTTCAACACAACACCGGCACTCGATACGAAATCCTCAACGCCTGTTCCCACGGTGTCTTCATCGCCGGGTACAGAGGGGGCCGGGTCAGGAAGCAATGCGAGCCCGGACCAGCGGATCTACGGTCGAGGCGAGTGTATGCCTCCGAGTCTGGCGTGAAGTTTCACTGACAGCAAAACGCAGGGGGTGTTCAGAATCGGATACGCAAGGAAGAGAAAGGTAAGAAGAGGGAAGACGGCGACAAGAAGGAAAAGAAGTCAGCAGGAATCCGCGGCATACGAGGATTTGTTTGATTATGGTAGGGTCTGATCGAGCAAGCACGACGAGATGACACGATACGAATAGGGACGACAGTGAAGCAAACAGAAAGATACCCAATGCAACCTTAGAAGCGATCAAATGAGCGATCTTCACTTCACATAAAAAGACAAGGCTGTATAGCACGTTCGCAGTTACGGGCGGACGGTAAGCGGGTAGTAGCGAGCCATCCGCGGTGAAACCTTGAGTTCAAGACGCCTCGAAGTCACTCAAAGCGTGGCTGTGCGTGCCAACATGATGGCTAGCGGATGTACAGGGAGGCGATGTGTTGTCTGGTTGTCTGTAATAGGCACGATGGTCTGCCGACGAATTCATCGCCATTCGACGATCTTCTAGTGTCGACTTTGGCGCAGAGACCAAGCCGACGAGTCCGTCTATAGGAAAACTCTGTTTAGCCGCCATTGTACCTGCATGACAGATGAATTGCGTGGCAGGCCGGATCAGGTAAGTCAACAGGCACAAGGAGTTTTACCCGTTGCTCACGCAATGTCGGACGTCGCGTTCATTCGAGTAGGCAATCATGCCACAAATCAGTCGAGCGCAGGAAGCATCAGGCATCGCTTGGCTTTCGCTCTCGCTCTCAAAACTTCAAAACTCGGCGAGCTTTCGATAGTGTCTCTTGACCTGATCCGGGGGAGGTCTGTTTGTCCAGAAAAATGACGACATGGCTGGATGATATCGTATTCCCAGCGCGGTACGTCTGCGGTCGAGCTACGGACGGCTTCTCCGCCGATTCTTTGGCTCTCTGGTAGAAACGACGCAAGGATGCCCTACCCGTCTGGCTCCCATTGGGTCGATGTTTCGCCCTGACAGCACAGCAACAAGGGGCAATGCCTTTTTTTGGCCATCCAAGGTTGTTTTGGGGGCTTCGACCGATGGGGCGCCATGGAGATGATGGTGGGATGGGTGGGGTCGCTCTTTGCCACTTCTCTCGTGTCCGCACAAACGACTTCGAGCTGCATTGAAGCACCACATCCAGTTGATCATCGCCCCCATGCCCTTCCAGCCAGCTAAAGATTGAGGTCACCAAGTCTGCCCAGGCTTGGACTATACGCGATGGCGGCAAGCGGGCTCTTGGCGAGAGCGCTGTTTTCCTCGGCTCTGTCACCTCCGCTGGACGCATCCACCTTGGGCCTTCGTCATTCGACTGTTCTTCTTTTCGTGCTTTGGACAGCATCCTTCCGCCTTTCAAAATCCAATCCTATCGCTTCTTTCATTCTCTTCACCTTTGCATCCCCTCATAAACTGCCCATCAATTTCTGGATAGTTCTTTTGCCTATTTCAGGTTTCACTGTTGTCTCTCGTTTGAGCAGTGATAGATAACTTTCAGACCTCGCGGTCCTCCCCATCATAGACACTACCGCACTTCCACAACACGTCAGAAGCTGACGGTAGTTTCGAACTGCGCAAAATTCTCCATCATGCGTTCCTTCACAAGCGGTGCGGCCCTCTTGGCCGCCGTTCAGTCGGCCCAAGCTGCCTTCCAAGGCTTCAACTATGGCAACGTCTTCACGGATGGTCGACCCAAGTCTCTCCAGGATTTCACCGACGAATTCGAGACAGCCCAGAACCTCGAGGGTACCAACGGAGCCTTCAACAGCGCCCGTCTGTACACCATGGTGCAGGCCGGCACGACCAACGACCCCATCGCTGCTATCCAAGCCGCCATCGACACCCGCACTAGCCTCCTACTCGGTCTGTGGGCGTCCGCCGGCTCAGAGGCCTTCAGTAACGAGATTGCTGCCCTCCGCCGTACCATCGAGGAGTATGGCGATCAGCTCGATGGCCTGGTTGCCGGTATTTCCATCGGCAGCGAGGACCTGTACCGCAACTCGCCCACTGGCATCGCCGCCAATGAGAACCCGGGCGCCAACCCCAACACTCTTGTCGATTACTTCAATCAGGTCCGGGATGTCATTGAGGGCACTTCTTTTGCCGCCTACCCTCTAGGCCACGTCGACACCTGGAATGCTTGGGACAACAGCAGCAACCAGGCCGTCATTGATGCGTCCGATTGGATTGGCTTCGACGCTTACGCATACTTCGAGGAAACCCAGGACAACGACATCTCCAACGGCAAGGCTCTCTTCGACCGTGCTCTCCAGCGCACCCGTAACGCCGTCGGCAGCAAGCCCATCTGGATCACTGAGACCGGCTGGCCCACAAGCGGCGACACTGTTGGCAATGCCGTCCCCTCGCCCGAAAACGCCGAGATCTTTTACCAGGAAGTCGGCTGCCCGTTGTTCGGCGAGACCAACACCTGGTGGTACTCGTTCCGCAACAGCCCTGGAACCCCCAACCCCAGCTTCGGTGTTATCGGCCCTGATCTGACCACCCAGCCCCTGTACGACCTGTCTTGTGACGCCGCTGGCTCTGCTTCTTCATCCTCCACGGTTCGGGCCACGACCGCCATCTCTGCTACTGCATCGACTGCCACCGCTGTTGCTCCCGGACCGACGACGACCGTCGTTGCCCCCATCCCGGGCGAACCCGTACAGGGTGACGAGGATGAACACACTGCTGGTCCTGCTCCTATCGAGACGAGCGAAGCTGTGCCTGCCCCCGTTCCCTCGGATGCGTCTGATGACCACGATGGTGATGACAATAGCGAGGAACCCTCCGGTGGCGTCCCCGCCCCTGTCCCTGTGCCGGCCCCTACGGCCAGCGCGCTGTCGTCGGTCCACGTTGAGACCACTCTCGTTGGATCTACCACCGTCACCCACGCTTCCGCCATTCCCACTCATGCCGGCAATGAGACTGTCCCTGCACCCGAGCCCACTTCAACCGAGCCTGTCGAGGTTGCTCCTGGCAGCGCTTCGTCGATGTCGTTCAGCGGCCTCGTCCTCGCAGCTGCTCTGGCTGTTGCCCTCTTCTGAGCAAGGAATGACCTTCACGCACCCACTTCCCATCCGTACACTCATTCACCTTTCCCGCCAGTAATTTTTCCAGGCATTACGACAAAGTTTAATAGGATAGACGGGCTTCTTTTATGTATCCTGTGTATTGGAAAGCCGAAAGCCACATGGACGATATTGGTACAAGGCCTTCAAACATCTGGGCGCATGGATTTGAGCCCCTTGTATTACGTTAGATCTTTATTTACGACACATGACCTACCCATTGAGGGGGTACAAACCCTCTATTACGCTCTTTACGAATGGATGACTTGGTTTGGGGTTTCGGGGCCATCGTACATATGTTCATAGGACATGTATGACCCCGTTTGATAATATATGACAAATACCGCCATTGATTGCAGACATGTGACTCGCTTTCGTTCATCATGGTACTCGATTACCGACTTGTTAATCATCGAGGTGACGCTTGGAGGTATCACCAGTTCGCACTATCAGCGTTGTTCATGCCAAGCTGTGCAGTTCTTCGGCTCTTTGGATGAGTGCCTCTGAGCCGCCTGTTGACGAGAACGTTGTAGTTACTATCGTTCTAGAACGAGCTGCGAAGGTGTCTGGTTTGAGACTCCCTGATCATTTCACATGCTGTCATCTGTTGTATGCGGACGGACAGATGGCCAAGGGGGATCTGCAAGGGTTGACGAGTCTGCGAGATGCGAGAAGACGGGTCACATGGCGAGGCATGAACCGCTCAGCGATGCGTTATCGATGATGTACACCATGGCATTTTGAAATTTGGGACGAGGAAACCGAGGCGTGGTGCCGTGGAAGAATTTGGCTAAAGTCCATGGCCACGGGTCACTCTGGCAGTTTCTCTGCTTCCTTCCCCCCATGCATCATAAGATAGTACGACGCGATCCGAAGGGCGATGCAGGCCATGGGACGGCAAACCATGGGTGAAAAGACGCCAAGGTGTTGACTTCCTGGAGCGACTTGGTGATTTGAGAAGTATGGCAGGTGCAGGACGACGAGTTCTTTGTGCACGCATAGTCACCGAGTACGTCAAGCATAGTACCACGACCTGGATCTTTTCGTATCGCGTGTTACGCGATGTGCCGAGCAAGGAACAAATCATGATACTGTCAGGGCACTTGTCATGGAATCGGAGGCGTCCATATCAATGATCCCGAAAGGCCGCACAACAATACTCTGTAGCGGGCACGGCGAATCAGATATTTTCTGCAGGTTGACCCAGTGGGTCACGTCCCACGCAGGATGCAGAGGGAAAAAGCAAAAAAAGAGAAGGAAGCTGAGCTTCCTGTGGTGATCTCCCCGACCGGAATCGAGCCGGTGACCTTTCGATGGAAATCGATGACAATTACAGTCGAACGTGATAGCCAACTACACCACAGGGAGTTGTTGTTGGAAAACAGGGTGGGCTCTGTAGTATATGAGGTATTTTCGCACCGGTCGAGATTTACCCCGTTTTGGTGGAGATCGTGGGTCGTCACAGTGGGTGGGTCATGAGGCATCTGGTTACACAAGTATCACTCCGTACTGTCGTTGGAGGACGTCAAGGAAACAGGTGCACGGATTGTTACGTTGTTGATGCCTGTTTCGAAAGACCAAGGTGACATGAAATAAGCGGCGACTCTCATCGGTAGCGCACGTGCTCGTACGGGCTCTTCCCGGTTCGCTAGGTACCTTGACAGACTGTCATCCGTGTCATGGCAAAGTGCCTGAACTGAACTTAGGCAGACGTCATGTCTCGCCAGGTGAACAAGAATGAAGCGAAACGTTCCCAGTGATTTCATGTGCTTGTCATTTTATTGTCGCCAACAACGAGATAACAGACCGACCAAGGCAGGCAGCAGTAGGCCCGATGTGATTAAGCTTACGTCGAGCTTAAACAGCTGTGCCATGATCTGACTGCGGACTCTCCATCTATATCTGAGAAGGTCTGGAACCAAAGATCGGCCCCGTCGTCACCTGCCCGTCGTGCTTCCTCGAGACAATGTTTCAAACCCAATGTGTCAACGCCAGGCACAGACAGGTTCACGACGCTCGTCCCTGCAGATCAGCGGAAAGCCTGGGTCTTATCTGGAACACGTCTCGCAAAGGTCGGGAAGGGAAAAAAATAGGGACCTGACGAACCCAAACGGCGCAGCGCTATACCTCCCAATCACCATGTCGCCATCCCGAGCTGGCTGGCTGGCTGGGTGCCGGCCCGCACCAAGCATCCGCGACCAGCAGGCGCAAACCCGCAACCGGCATTGAAACCCAGTAGGCATCCTCAACACCCTTTTCATAGCACACTCAACAGAATGGAAAGTTTTTTTTTCTTCCTCTTTCACTTTCATCCTGAATCTGTGTTCCTTCCCTGACGCTAGATTCAGATCCCGATTGTGGTGTTCGTTCGGGTGACTCTGTGTTCGGCAAAACAGGCACTCTTCTCAACGAACCATTGCAAAGAGGTCGCACGACACCAAGACCACTTCGACGTAACGCCCATGACAAGGCCCGTACCCACAGTATGCCAAGACCCATTAGCGCCGCCAACTGCCGGGCGCCCCATCGAGCGCACGTACCCTGCCGACGTCGGGCCCATCGAGAAAGATCGCCCTGGGAGGGAGGCTCATCTTCTCGATACGTAGCCCCCCTTATACCCCTACCAAGGTATACTGACAAGCTTCGTGCGATTATCATCATTGGCTGCATCTCCCTCCACCAGCATCTCGAGACGGAGACAGCCACGTTTGAATGCGTCAGCTCCCCTCTCCGCGCTTCCGTCAGACACACTTACGTTTGAACTGTGGGTTCAATTGAGTAAGGCTACGCTTGAGGCATGTGCCTATGTACCCTTACATTGGCTACATGACCATTGACGTCTGCTGCTGGGGGTGCCTAGCGTGGCCTGTGAACGACGTGCACAAATCACAGGGAGTCATTGATGATCTCAGATATCGTCGCTACTGTTACAGCCAAAAGGTCTAGAACTGATCGGCGAAACCATGAGGCTGGCTGAAGCGACAGCTGGCTTCGTTGGTCATCCGTCTGACCCGCCCAGATGGGCTGCCCCATCTTGACCTTGTGATAGTCATCGTTCGCACAGAGACGCTCGCCAGCATGACGAGCCTGAGATATTGTCCAATTATTTTGTCATATTATGTTATGTATGTGTATGCGTATGTGGACCCAAAAAAATTGCAGCTCATCTCATACTATCAACCAACTATTTTATGCCAGAACAGACGGGTATTTCGTTCGTCATCCCAAAACGCCATGCTAGTACTCTTTGACTGCAGTAGGTATCCAACTCTATATCGTGAACAACAAAGGAGAGAAACAAGATGGACATGTAGTAAAGAAAAAAGAAAGAACGCCTAGGAAGGCTGAGGAAATTCGTGTCAAGGCCTGTTAGGCCCTCGTAGAAATCAGGCGTTGGTGCATTGGCACTCAAGTAGCGTGGACAGCCCTGCTCACCAGGAAATCGCCGTAACCAGGAAGCACGCTCGTCTCCTGGTAATCAGGGTCCGGCTGGCGCATGACGCGGCCACGGAGAAGCTCATCGGCATCTGCAGCCTCCTGCAGGGCCATGACAGCGTCAAAGCTGGGGAGGCCGGTAGCCTGCATCATCTGGTCGGCCGTGGGCTCAACAATGACCTGAAGAGGCACCGATAGGTTGAGCTTGGCGTCGCCAACCGTGACGCCGACTTGCAGGGTGTAGGTGCGAGAGATGAGGCAGCTGTGGAAGGTGGGGAGGAAGAGCTTGCGTCCGGTGGGGATGCGCACGGGAATGTGAAGTGCCGTCTCATGGAAGACGGGTGCCTTGCCTGAAGCCGCCGACTTGCTGCTGCGACGGCTCGACGGCTGGTCCGAGTCCGAGTTGCTGTCGGGCTGGCCCTCGCTGGAGTAGCCAGAGTCGCGGCGCGACGGGTTCGTGGCGCGGATCTGCCACTGGGTCTTCTCGAGATCATCCGAGAAGAGTGATACAGATGTCGAGTAGCTCAGCTGGGGCAGCGCCGCGTAGCTGTGGCGAGCGTCGCCCATGTTGGGCAGGCTGGAGATGGGCGCAGCGCTGAACCATGTTGCCGCGTGGACCTTGGCCGAGACGTGGCTGGCGTTGGGAGGCACAATCTCGGGCGACGTGGGCTCGAAAGTAAGGTTCACTGTGACGGATGTCTCCGAGGCAGTACGGCCGTCGGCGCCGAGGCGGATGGCTGGAGGCTGAATGGCATTGGCGATGATGCGGCCCTGCTTGGCCGTGAAAATGTTCTTTCGAAGCGTCTTGGCCTTGGTGAGGCGATAGCCCTTGTCCTCAGACGTGATGTTCAGAGGGGGGTCTTCCGGGGAGATGGGGAGTACGTTGATGTGGTAGTGATCCTCCATCACCTTGATCGGACGGCCGCCAAGCTCAGGCATCTCGGCGACGCGGGCCTTGACCATGTACTCGACGCGCGCCATCTGGGGCGACATGTCGTCCTTGCCCCAGGCACCCATCGAGGCGGGCAGACGCATGTGCTGGTCATAGACGGCATCCGACTGCTTCGGGTGGTTGCAGGCGCTCAAGGTCAGATGGTGAGGAATGACGAAGTTGAAGGGAATGCTGTACTTGTGGCCAGCCTCGAAGACGCGGGGCACGGGGTAGGCCGAGGCGGGAATGGGCATGTTGAGCTTGAGGAAGGTGTGCGAGGAGTGCTGGGCGATCTGCGCAGCGTCGAGGCGGGTGCGCGAGTGGCCGATGAGAACGATGGAGACAAAGTCGAAACGGGTGTCCTTCCAGGGGGTGATGGTGACCTCGCCGGCCACCGGGGAGCCGGAAGAGTAGACCTTGGAGTTGTAGTGGTTGTCCAGCTTGATCTCGATGCTGGGGCCCTTGGGGATGGGAGGGCGGGCGAAAGAGCCGAAGACAGAGCTGATGTCGCTGACGGAGGACATGTCGGCGGTGTTGGTGACAATGGTCTAAGTGACGGAATAAGTGGAGGGAGGGCTTGGTTCTCTCAGATGCCTTGGACCACGATGAG